AAAAAAAAAAAAAAAAAAAAAGCCTGGACCAGACTTGGTGCCTCGTGCCTGTAACCTCAGCACCACTTTGGGAGACCGAGGTAGGTGGATCACTTGAGGTCATGAGTTCAAGGCCAGCCTGGCCAATATGTAAAACCCCATCTCTACTAAAAATACAAAAATTAGCTGGGTGTGCTGGTAGGCTCCTGTGATCCCAGCTACTGGGGAGGCCAAGTCCTGAGAGTCACTTGAACCTGGGAGGCAGAGGTTGCACTGAGCCAAGATTGTGCCACTGCACCCCAGCTCGGTGACAGAGCAAGACTCCATCTCAAAAAATAAGCAAATAAAAAGAGCCTGGCATGTCCTCCTTTCTCTCTCACTCCCTTTCTCTCTCCATGACAGCTCCCCTTCCCCTCCCACCATGACTGGAAGCTTTCTGAGGCCCTCCGCAGAAGGAGATGCTGGTGCCATGCTTCTCTACAGCCTGCAGAACTGTGAGTCAAAGAAACCTCTCTAATTGAAAAGTTACCCAGTGTCAGAAATTCCTTTGTAGCAATGCAAACTAGATTTATACAGAGCTCTTTCTAGGCCTTTTTTACATACGTGCATTCTTCTTTTTCTTTTTTTAAAACATTCATTGGATCAGATTATACATATGTGTCACTTTTTCTCTTATTGATCTTTATATGTGTCTACGCTATTTTTAAATGATGTAATATATGCCTTGGTATATATGTACAAACATAACAAGATGATTCCCCCATTGATAAGCTTTTAGGATGTCTGGCTTTTATAAAACTTGCTGTGTGATCCCTGGCTGGATGTATTTTTGTGTCCATTTTTGAGTATTTTTGTATGATACAGTCCTCAGGGTGGAACTGGGTCTTGAATTTTCTTGTATTCTTCCGTGTTGTTTTTTCTAAAGGTCACACCAGTCTATATTTATATTATCACCTGTGGGAAGTAGAAAAGTTCCTTTTTAAAGTTTCCTTTCTTGTTAAAGAATAAGTGTGCTAATAACTTCGTGAAGCCCTATCCTACGTAGCTGTTAGACATGCCATGCTTACAGGCACATAGTATATTCTATGTCCTTGTACTTTAACCAAGATATCTGTGCTGGACGTGCTCATGGGCATGTCCCAGCTCTCCATTGCTTGTACCTGTTTAGAAAAGTTTTAGGTTATTAGCCAATCAGGTTTTAGTTTAGATTGTGAAGTCTGACTCCAACAGAGATCAGACACAGCAGTAAGGATGACCCCAAATGCATAAGGGATAAATTTGTGTTTTCCTTTGTTCATTGTACTCTCGTGGCATGATGGCTAGTAAGGGTACCCTTCCTGCAGTCCAGGAAGTAACAATTGAGTTGCTGAAAGATGCTTTGTCTCAGCGCTGATTTTTCTCTGTGGCACTGAGCATCTATTTCCAACAACATATGAGAGTACCCTTTTCCACTTAGCCAAAGCAACACTGAATACCATCAGTCTTTTTGGGTTGTGCCAATCTAAGGGATGTCAAGTTTAGCCCAGAGCGGTGGTGTGCACCTGTGGTCCCAGCTACTCAGGATGCTGAGGTGGGAGGATTGGTCGAGCCTAGGAGTTCAAGGCTGCAGTGAGTTATGACTGCACCACTGCACCTGCACTACAGCTTGGGTGACAGAGCGAGACCCCTTAAAAAGAAAAAAAAGATAAAGGATGTCAAGTGCATTCTCATTCTTATGATGAATATAAGTCAGGCATCTTTTTATATGTTCATTGGTCAGTTTTATTAGTGGGTCAGTTGTTTGGCACAGATATTTCCTTTCAACGTGGAGTGAAGGGGCTGCCTGCGCATGTCAGCTGGTTCAAGGGACCACAGGGAGTGTGGCACAGGGCAGGCTGGTGTGGCAACGCCCACCCCAGAATGGCCCTGGGCAGGAGGCAGGGTTGCAGACTACCTGCACTGCAAAGCCACTTGAGTTTCTAAGTAAGCAAGCTCATCTCTTGTCATTTTTATAAAATAATTTTTTATTTTTAAATAGTTTGAGACTCACAAAAAATTGTAAAAGTAATACAGAGAGTTCCCTTGTACCTGCATCCAGTGTCCCCTGATGATGTCGCCCTGCACAACCACAGCACACATAGCACATTTTCTAGACCAGGAAACTGTTGTTTCATACACTCTGTATCATTAACTCAGGTTCACACCATCTTAGGGTTTCACACTTTTTGTTTTTTTTTTAGACAGAGTCTCACTCCGTCACCCAGGCTGGAGGGCAATGGCACAATCTTGGCTCACTGCAACCCCCATCTCCTGGGTTCAAGCAATTCTCCTGCGTCAGCCTCCTGAGTAGCTGGGATTACAGGTGCCTGCCACCACACTCAGCTAATTTTTGTATTTTTAGTAGAGATGGGTTTGCACCATGTTGGCCAGGCTGGTCTCAAACTCCTGACCTCAAGTAATCCAACCACCTCGGCCTCCCAAAGTGATGGGATTATAGGCGTGAGCCACCGTGCCCAGCCCGACCCATTTTTAAACTTTCTCTGTCTTCTCTTCCTCCCTTCCTCTTGGTATACAGATCTGTGACATTTAATCACGCACATAGACTCCAGTAATCACCTCAGTCAGGACACAAAACTGTTCCATTTCCCCAAAGAAACTCCCTTATGCTATTCCTGAATAGCCTGGCCTGATATGTTCTTCTTTCTTCTCTCTGTTAGGACATAAACATGTATGATAAATTGTATAAACTGTCCTATCAAACATGTAAACTGTAAAATAAAAAATAGCTTAAAAATTCACTTTTATGTAATAGCTTTATTGAGATATGATTTAGATGCCAAAAAGCCTACCCGTTTGAAGTGTAAGGTTCAGTGGTTTTTAGTATATTTGCTAAATATACTAAAATATATTATGGTGGTGATTGTGCAATCATCACCATAATCTAATCTTAGAACATCTTTATTATTCCCCAAAGAATCCCCATCAGCAGCCACTCCCCAGCCCTCATTCCCTCACCCTCTAACCCTCAGGAACTGTTCATCCACTTTCTGCCCTGCAGATTTGCTTATCCTGGACATTTCCTATACATGATATTGTATAACATGTGGTCTTTCATGGCTGGCCACGTTCACTTAGCATAATGTTTTCAAGATTCTTCCATGCTGCGGCGTGCATTAGTAGTTTAATCTCGTGGTTGAAT